ATGTTAAAATGCAGCTAAAAATGTGGTTTTTACATATAATTACTCTGGTATTATTGGGGAACTTTCCGTTAATTACACACCTGTCTTGGACAATTAGAATGGGTCTAGTTCCCGAAAATATGCTCTCGAAATGACACTAGTAAAATTAAAACGTTGATACTGAACGATTTACGCATTGTCATGGGCTGGAACTTGTTACCAGGGGGTTCCTGAGGTTGCTAATTAGGAATCCGAAGTCAGTTTTTCAAAATTCAAAATGGCGGCTCCACAATGGCGATACATTTTTTTAAAAAATGATTGGATTCGTTCGAAACCCGGCACTCGAGAGTTTTTGGGGTCGCCGATTACGAATCTGAAGTCAACTTTTTATACCCGAGCGCACTTGTGCACAAGGGTATTATAACTTTGTTCACATAACGGTTGTTTGTAACAGGCAAAACGAATCGAGATAGATATAGACAAATGTATACATAAATGATCAGAATGAAAAGAGAAATCGATTAAGCGGTGACTGTCTGTCCGTCCGTCCGTCTGTGCACACGATAACTCGAGTAAAAATTAATTCATTTTGGGCGTAGCACGGATGGTATTGAAAATGGGCAAGATCGGACAATAACCACGCCTACCTCACATATAACGGTAATTTTCAGAAATACGAAAACTGCGAAATTTTAGTAACTGAAGATTATTCACTCAAAATAATATCTACAATAATTTAGACGAAAAAAAAAGAATATTATACATTTTTGAAAAATGGGCGTAGCCACGCCCACTTATGGTTACATGTGTATATCTTGGCAACCCCTGCACCGATTTCTTCCAGCATACCAAATGGCCGAAAATTTTTTAAAATCGGACAATAACCACGCCCACATCCCATTTAACTACGGTGGCCATATTAACGAACGTAAAATAAAGGACATTTTTCCCAATGATTTTAGAATACGAACATACAACTTGTATGATGGTAATTTAGATCAAATATTTGTTAGTTAATTATATTATTAAATTGTACAAGTTCCTCTTCTCGAAAAGCTCTGTAACCGGATTTTAACCGATTCCGAAAAATGAAACCAAATCCTTATCAAGGACTTCGCCATCCTTTGCTGTCACAATGCGTTTATCATAATTGAGCGGAGGTTTGTTGTTATTTTTCAGTGGATCTGAAAACTTAGCGTGCAACACGATCCTGGGCACAACATTCCCTGTGCTTTTGTCAACAATAAATTTGACTCAAAGTATTTTAATTTTTCTGGGAAAGTGTCTAAATATTAGTAATTTTTTTTTTTCAATTACATAAATTTCCGCTTATCAGTATTATCAAGGATTCGTGACCCTTAAGTTGGGTGCGAAGCAAACTGACGAAGGTTTTCATTCTGTTTTATTACGGACATTTATATTGTTTCATATTCTATGTTTAAAAATTGACCTCTGCAAAATCCAAAGCTAATTTAAAGGACAGTTTAAGAAATAAAGGACAAATGGTCACCGTACATATAACGGTAATTTAGAGAAATACGAAATCTTCGATAAAGCAGTAAATATTAAAGCTAATTTATTCAAAATAGATGCTTGCAACAATTCTTTACCAAGAAATACGTTTATGATAAAATTTTGGAAAATGGGCGTGGCACCGCCCGCTTATGATCACATACATATATGTATCTCGGTAACCGTTCTGCCAATTTGTACCAAACTCGGTATGGTTATTGTGCTTTCTACATACGTTCAAAATTATTGAAATCGGACTAAAATTACCGCTTTTCATATAACGGTAAATTTTAGAAATGCTTGAAACTTCAATATTTCCAAATTTAAGGACGCTAATTTACTCAAAATTGATACACCCCGGCTTACCATGTAGCGGTAGCTTTCGGAAAGGTGAAAACATATATTTAATATTTGCGCCGGGTATTTAATGTTCGGCTCCGCCAGAACTTAGACTTTCTTACTTGTTTAATTTCAAAATGGTTGATCCAATATGGCGATCAAATTGAAAAAAAAAATACTAAAATTAAAACGTTANTGGCCATATTAACGAACGTAAAATAAAGGACATTTTTCCCAATGATTTTAGAATACGAACATACAACTTGTATGATGGTAATTTAGATCAAATATTTGTTAGTTAATTATATTATTAAATTGTACAAGTTCCTCTTCTCGAAAAGCTCTGTAACCGGATTTTAACCGATTCCGAAAAATGAAACCAAATCCTTATCAAGGACTTCGCCATCCTTTGCTGTCACAATGCGTTTATCATAATTGAGCGGAGGTTTGTTGTTATTTTTCAGTGGATCTGAAAACTTAGCGTGCAACACGATCCTGGGCACAACATTCCCTGTGCTTTTGTCAACAATAAATTTGACTCAAAGTATTTTAATTTTTCTGGGAAAGTGTCTAAATATTAGTAATTTTTTTTTTTCAATTACATAAATTTCCGCTTATCAGTATTATCAAGGATTCGTGACCCTTAAGTTGGGTGCGAAGCAAACTGACGAAGGTTTTCATTCTGTTTTATTACGGACATTTATATTGTTTCATATTCTATGTTTAAAAATTGACCTCTGCAAAATCCAAAGCTAATTTAAAGGACAGTTTAAGAAATAAAGGACAAATGGTCACCGTACATATAACGGTAATTTAGAGAAATACGAAATCTTCGATAAAGCAGTAAATATTAAAGCTAATTTATTCAAAATAGATGCTTGCAACAATTCTTTACCAAGAAATACGTTTATGATAAAATTTTGGAAAATGGGCGTGGCACCGCCCGCTTATGATCACATACATATATGTATCTCGGTAACCGTTCTGCCAATTTGTACCAAACTCGGTATGGTTATTGTGCTTTCTACATACGTTCAAAATTATTGAAATCGGACTAAAATTACCGCTTTTCATATAACGGTAAATTTTAGAAATGCTTGAAACTTCAATATTTCCAAATTTAAGGACGCTAATTTACTCAAAATTGATACACCCCGGCTTACCATGTAGCGGTAGCTTTCGGAAAGGTGAAAACATATATTTAATATTTGCGCCGGGTATTTAATGTTCGGCTCCGCCAGAACTTAGACTTTCTTACTTGTTTAATTTCAAAATGGTTGATCCAATATGGCGATCAAATTGAAAAAAAAAATACTAAAATTAAAACGTTAATACTGAACGATTTACGCATTGTTATGGGTTGGAACTTGTTACCAGGGGGTTTCTAGGGGTTGTTGATTACGAATCTGATGTCAGATTTTCAAAATTCAAAATGGCGGTTAAGATCCNGAACGATTTACGCATTGTTATGGGTTGGAACTTGTTACCAGGGGGTTTCTAGGGGTTGTTGATTACGAATCTGATGTCAGATTTTCAAAATTCAAAATGGCGGTTAAGATCCAATCCAATAATTTTTTTTAAGTTGGTCGCCATTTTGGATCCACCATTTTGAATTTTAAAAATCTGAAATCAGATTCGTAATCAGTAACCCCAGAAACCACCTGGAAACGAGTTTCAAGCCTTGACAATGTTTAAAACGTTCAGTATACACGTTTTAATTGTATTATTTTTTTTTAGTTTCTTCGCCATATTGGATCCGCCATTTTGAATTTAAAAAAATTGACTTCAGATTCGTAATCGGCGAACATTTTTTTTAATGGATCGCCATTTTGAATTTTGAAAAACTGACCTCAGAGTCCTAATTAGCAACCACAGAAACCCCCTGGTAACAAGTTCCAACCAATGACAATGCGTTAATCGTTCAGTAACAACGTTTTAATTTTACTAGTGTCATTTCGAGAGCATATTTCTGGAAACTAGACCCATTCTAGCTGTCCAAGACAGGTATGTAATTAAGGGAATGTTCCCCAATAATACCAGAGTAATTATATGTAAAAATCACATTTTTAGCTGCATTTTAACATGTCAAGAAAATAAAAAAATGAGAACACCAGCGAACAAACCGACCAGCGCGACCTCTAAAACTTAAAAAAAAAACACGTANAAAATCCAAAGCTAATTTAAAGGACAGTTTAAGAAATAAAGGACAAATGGTCACCGTANAAAAAAAAAACACGTATCTCTTTTTTTATCACAAATAACAATAACTTGAGGTAGCGTTTATGAATTTCCAAAAATACTTTTTTTTGAACCACATATTGCGAAAAACCCGATTTTTGATACCTTGACCACGTTTTTCTCAAAATCTAAAGCTGATGGAAACTTTTACTTACAGATTCGCAATCAGCACATCAAAGTCTATCAAAAACAGCTTTTACATTTTAGGACGCAAAATCAGTGTTGCCCTGTGTTATACACGAAACAATAACTTTTTCTAATGAAATCTGTTAACCTTCTCAATTATATCGGCGACCTATTTTCTTTACCTATATACTCTTGCCACCAGCAAAGCTACCCACCCGGGTACAGGGCGTTTCGCCGCCCCTGGTCACTGGTATGTTTAAGCCCAATTGTTAAACTCGCCTTAGTACAAAACCTTGCTGAACAAAAAGACATCGAATAATATGCCAATAGAATTTGTTTTTAGCCACTTCTTCAAGAACAACTGTATCACGAGCCTCAACTATAAAAATTATTTTTTACTAAACTATTTAGTTGCCTAAGTAAAAGCAAGTATTTCATTGAATTCAACCACTCACGCTTAGATAAACTAACCATTATAAATATTATATCAATATAAAATATTCATTAATATATTCAATCGATTATATGTACAATGACAACAACGTTGTCATGGCCAAAAGAATGTTGAGTTATGAATTACGAATCGAAGCGTGACACCATATCGGCACCGTCTTCAAAGGGTCACAACTAAAAAGTTTGTTTGTTATTTTGAGATTATGCGCTAAAAATGTACGCAGAGATTTTATTTACCTTTCAGCAAAAGCTGGAGAACATTTTTGTTATAATTTGTTATAAAAAACCTAAGGTAAAGTCGCCCTTCCCCATATGATTATCATGTATTATTTTGAGTTGTGACTCTTTTGAAGACGGTGTGCGATAGGAGCTTATGTTATTGATTAGTATGTTTTGTACACGTCACTCATTTTTCTTTTGTAACACACACATCTCTAAGTGAAATAAAGAAGACATTATTGCCTCTGTACCGAAATAGCTTTTGAAGGAAAAACGCGTGCTTTAACTTATTCGGTCCTTTAAGTTGCTATATCAAGATTATCTCCACATTGAATTAAAGAGGCGAACCGGCATTTCATCATCAACGTCATCAACTGGTTGCCAACCGGACCCAATCTTTGAAAAAAGTTCAAAAACAGCATCAAAAATCTCATCATTAGGATTCTGTTGAAATTTTTGTTAAAATATTTTAATGAATTTTTTTTTTAGCTTAAACTGTTTCGCCATCTATGGTGATTTTTTTCAAAAAATACTTTAAAAAACCGATTTTTATTCACAAAAATCTCAAGGAGGTATTTTCAAATCGGTCCAGCTAACGTATATATTAATATTTTTCCGAAATTTTTTGGTGCAGGTCTTCAAATATAATAGATTTATAATTCCAACGGAAAAACAGTACCGACTTTCTTTTGCATGGGGAGTGATGCAGTCTAATGTACAGATGTATACAAATATACTTACATACTAGAGGGCTGCAAAGTTTCCAGGAAAAATGCACTTCTCACATTCAATCGAAAAATAGGAACACATGCTTGCGGTACCAAAAAAACAGTAACAAAAGTAGAGAACATCCCAAATGAGCGTTCCTGAACGATGCTACTCGACGGCGCTCTCCTTTACCAAATACGTGTTCCGCTATGCTCACATACTTAAGCATCAAGCAACCTGAACGTAGTATTTGGAAACTTCACATAGGAAGGTCAAACTGCACGTGAAGTTTTATGTTCTCTTTATGGGTTTGGATTCTACTTATAACACGCGAAGACAATTTTTTTGAATGTGAGCAGGTTTGCATTCGTTCGATTTCCAAAAATGGGGTGTGATATTAAAGCACTTGGTCTGTAGATGTGTACTAAGCTTAAATTTTTTTTAAAGTATTGTCACCTATTAAAAGTTTTAATTAAAATTATCTAATAAGTTAAATCAGTTATAAAAGTATGGGTATTACTATAAATTTGCTTGAAAAGGCTCAATTTCTAATAAATATGTAGGAGTGTTGCCATTTCATTTAAAACGTCAAATTCAACTAAACTTAAGCGAGTTAGGTAAATGAAATACATACATATTTATGTATTAAAATATGGGTGTTCGAATACGTGAAGCAATTTTTTTTGAAGGAGATCAGATCTGCACAGTTCTTTCGGATTTAAAAAATTAGATGTCAAATTAAGGACCTTGGTTTTATTTTTTTAAGTAAGAACTTTTTTAGAGGTACAGTGTGAATTGATGCAATTGATATTGATAACAAAACATATAAAAATATCGATTATAAAATCGATGACGAATTCATTAAAAATTTCGATAGCAAAATCGATAATATTACTGGTAGCAAAATCGATTAGTAAATCGATAAATAATTGGTAAGAAAACCGATAACAAAAATCTGTTAGAAAATCGATAAAAATCTCGATAACAAAATCGATAAAAATATCTATAACAAAATCGATAAAAAAATCGATAAAAAATCGAAATATAATCGATAACAAAATCGGTAAATAAGCGATAACAAAATCAATAAATAATCGATAACAAATTCGATAAAAATATCGATAAAAACCCCAATAAAAATATCAGTTATTATATCGATAAGTTCCAAGAATCCCGAAAATCTCTTCATTGTGTAATATACTTATTGTAACTTTTTAGGCAGGTGGTCACCCTATTAAAAATATTACCTCTTGATAAAAGTGCACTGAAATGCCTTTCGTTCGATAAAAGCGTTGCAAAATTTTACGCCACTTAAATATTTTATTCACTTTATTTTCAGGCAGATCGCAAGCCTATGTAAAAATTTGCATTTTTTTTCGAAAGCGGTAAAGCTGACCTTCAAAATTGCGTTTCAATATTTAAATTTGATGTAGTATGAGGGTAGATATGGAGCCATGATATAAAAATACCTTAAAGAAACTCAAATGTATATATGTATGTACATATATACATGTATATATAAAAAAACGTATAGAAATAAACGTAAATATATTTTATGTGCACGAGACATATCTTATATATAAATTATACTCTCAAACGAAATCTTCCTAAAATACTTGAAAACTTCACATGAAGGAACCTTTTACTTGCGGAAGTTTCACAACGTAGTACTCGTCTTTTGTGTTCCTCTCTTTTTCGGAACATATTTTTGTCGAGTACTTTATTTAGTTACTCGACGCTTTGCGACTATACTTCTCTTAACTATCCGCGCTCTCAGTGAGAGGAAGAGAAGGAAGCGTATTCGCTAGAAAACTTCAATGTGAAGCCAAATATCTGCCGATGCAGACCTCTATTACATACCAGGATGTAGAGAACAAAGGTGGCGCTCATATCGGTACCGCTATTCCGCTCTCAGTCAATTTGACAGAATCGGTGTTTGTATGACGTCACACATGTGCAACTTGTTTACGTTCTTCTTGTTCTTCCATTCTTGCTAGCGTTTGGCATTTATCTCTTGCAAATGCATCAGTGTGACGTCACACAAAAATTTTTCTCAAAAATCCTCTCTGCTGGGCGCAGTTTTGTATTCTATCATTCTTGCTTACATACGATTCAGTTTCTCAAAAACCTCTGAAATTGAGGAAATACATATCGTTACCTGAAATGCAAAAAAGACGTAACCACATCGTAAATGAAATGGAAAAAATCGTGACTAATATTTTAATTATACTTTTTTTTTTTATAAAATGATGTGGGGAGTTGTAATTCGATGAAATCCATCATATTAATAAAATTTGAATTTTGAATTTTTTATTAGTTGACTTTTTGCATTTTAACGATGATGTTTGTTACGTCTTTTTGCATTACAGGTGATAATATATTGCTTTGAACAAACCAATCGTGCTTCGGGAATATTTTCTTCCTTCACGTTACAACCTTCTAACCACTTATTTGTAATAAACGACAAAATTTTAAATACTTCACTCTGGAATCCTTGCACAAATTTATAAGATTCCTACAGCTTTCAAACGCGCAATTCATTTTTTATTTAATTAAAATGACTGATTTTTCGTTTTAAAATCTAGTGTTTGAAATTTTTTCAAAGGCAGTTGAAAAATATTTATTTTGTGGCTGGTAGCTTGATTTTTATAGAGATGTCATAATGCCAGCAACAGTCAAATGGCTAACATGGCCGCCAAAATCATTGAGTAAAACCATGATACAAAAAATAAGGTAGTTTCAATAAACCACATTTGACGGATAATAAAATTTTTTGAAGTTTCATAAATTGTGAGTATACTCAACGGCCTTGCCACTTTGATAATATTAAAACAATAAATCGGCGTATTTTCTTTCCCATATTTATACCAATGTAATAACATTTCAAATCAAAAACCATTATCAGTGCTTGGTACTTTTTTTTACTTACGTGGTTGGCACCTTTTTATACCCGAGCGCACTTGTGCACAAGGGTATTATAACTTTGTTCACATAACGGTTGTTTGTAACAGGCAAAACGAATCGAGATAGATATAGACAAATGTATACATAAATGATCAG